CGGGCTTGAGCAAGCCCACGTAAAACACCGGGTGGGTGCGCATCCGTTTTGGAAGGTTCAGCGTTTACGCTAGGCCCCGCTTGGCCACAACCATTAACGGTCCGATGAACCGTGCGTTCTGAAGACAGCAGAGGCTGCATGTGTAAGCAGGTTTTTAAAATTTAATAAAACCAGGTCCCCGACCTTAAGGCTTTCCACTTTGTATATTTCTCTTTCATCTGCATATTCTTTTTGCAGGTTTTGGCTTTCAGTCATCGCATCGCGAACGTGTCGTAAGACACTCAGTCTGGTGGACAAGAAGTCATCGACTTCTTTACGGATGGTTAGGGGGCTGATCAGCTAGCCGTTCGGCTATTCCCCCCATCAAGCCCTGAGCCATGGGATGGCGGCGTCAGCAGAACGCAAGGGTGAACCAGCCCGTTCACGTGTAGCCGGTAGACGAATGCACTGCAGAGTTCACTGCAAACTCTACGAGCGCTCCAGCGCCTCGACGTCTCAGCGCAGACGCTGCGAAGAACATCTTCGATGACGCGATTCACCTTTTCGGTTTGATTATCGGTCTGCGGATGATCCGCTGTCGACATATCCAACTTGGTGCCTAGCACCTCGAAGATAGTCGACCAAAATTGTCCCGAGAAACGGGGGTCTCTATCAGAGACAATCGACTCTGGGAGTCCGTGTTGACCGAAAACACGATCCACAAACAGCGTTGCTGTACCGACTCCGTCGATGGTGTCTGGCACCGCCGCCAAATCAGTCATCTTGCTCAACCAGTCGATGAATACCACGACACCCGTGTTGCCCGCCAAATCTTTCGGCAGGCCAACACAAAGTCCAAACTCATGGACTGCCAGCACCCAGTGGGTACCGGTAATCTGGCCAGCGGCGCAGCCACAGTTGGAGAGGGTTATATCCGTTGACACGTCTCACACATGTGCACATAGGTGCTCGTTCATTTGTACAAGTTGAGCCACCAATAGTGGTGACTCACTGAGTTGTACGTTTTCTCACGACCGAGATATCCACTTAGTGGCGTATCGTGAGCCTCATAGAGGATACGATATTTCAAGTCCTCATCATGAGGAACCAAAATTCGTGGTGTATCCTTTGAATCGGTGCTATAATATAGCATACGTTATTCAACGAAAATCGGTGCAATCGTGCACGCAATCTTGATGGCAATTTGTTGTCCGAGTTTCCAAACTCCTTGCTCCCTAGAGCCCGTAGCAACGCTACAAACATCCCATCACCAGCATACGCGGTGCGGATTAAATCCGTCACAGATGACGTTACAGTTGTAACATGAGCAAGCTCATAGTCTGGTCTGC